AACCATACATCAATGGAAAGCGTATTTATTCAGCTTTCAGATGTACAACTTTCAAAAAATTGACCCTTATGACTGGTTTTGTGGTCCATATATCAGTTTGTTTATTTTTTGGCAAGTTTGGCAATAGTTAGGGTTAGGTTTGGCAATTATAGTATAATAAATTATATAGTATATTAAAAATTGATTATGACGGTATTAAACTCACCAAAACCGATATATGACCGCAAGACCACCTCTAAATCTGGACTCTTCTACATAAAACACTTGAATTTAATGATTTAAGAAAGAACTCCTATACCTGTAACTCACACCATGCCACCTCCACCGTGGTCTCTGTGTCCAGCCCCTTGTAGACCGTCTTGAACGACCCTCTCCCAATTTCAATGTTGAACTTCAGATATCTTCCATCCGGTGAGGTGGCCACTGCTTTGGTCTCAATGTCCTCTTTCTCGTCCTGCTCCAGTCTGCTTACAAATGGGCGTCGTGGTGCCACATTCTCAACTTTGGAGCCCTCATTGTCGGAGTCCGAGCTGGCATCCTGGGCGACAGGGGACAGAGGGGTCTGGACGGAGCTTGTCCAGTCCTCTGGAGGTGCTGAGCTGGCGCTGGGGGTTGAAGACTCTGGGCTGGAGACTGGAGATGGAGAACTTGGAGATGGAGGGTCTGTTTTATTTTCAGCAACTCTTCTCTCTGATAACAATATGTTTTCAGTGGACCACGACAGCGCTTTGGAAAGTGTCTCGTTGTAGATTTGCGGGTCAATATCCACGCTGAGTTTATGAAGCACGTATGAGTTCCTCCTCGCGTTCAGGGAGTGAGTCCGCAGCATTGGCACTCTGGAGAGACAGTCCTCCTCCAACTCAACAGGTAAACCAGGAAAACCACGTCCAGAGAACTCGACTTCGGCGTGAGACATGCTGAGGAGCGCTCAGAGCATCACAAACTGGACGAAACAGAGAAATGAACTAGAGCGCGCAAGAACATTATGTACCAGACTTTTGCGTATTTTCCTCCACGATATGCTTTTTACGAGAAAATATCACATGCATAAATAATAACAACAAATTAGGTTATAGACAT